CTCCGCACAAGAGCCTCTCACCAGGCGAGAAAAGCCATCAGCCAGGGTCGTCCACTTCTTGCTTGAAATTTCCCACAACGCAAGGTTGAAGAATTTTGATAGCGTGGTGGACTGGAAGACGGCGCTGCGGGTGCGCAGGGTTCACCAAAAGGGGCTTGCCGGCCTCGGGCGCCAGCCCGAGCCTGTGCTTCACCTCTTGACCCAAGTCCGTTCGGCCGTCGAGCACGCCCCCCAAATGCCTGTACTGGGGGACGATTTCAATGCCGACCTGGAGATCCTCCAGACACATTAACTCAGCTCTGCCATTGGAGAAGAAGTGGCGGCGTGCCAGGGCCGCCCCTTTCCCCCGCAGTTGATCGACTCCCTCTTTTGTTTCGCTTCAGGCTGACTTCCATACCACAGGCGTGGAAAAAGCCTATCACGAGCGAACTGACACGGCTTGTCTTTCCCAGCAAAGCCCCCGAAAGGCCGAATCTTCGGCCCGTGTAGCCTCCCACGATTGCTCCACGAAGCCCTGGCCTTGGGTGGCGTAGATGCCAACTTCCGCGTCGAAGGGCAAACGGAACAAGAGGTCTTCGGCGTCCATGCACTCGGCGTATAAAAGGCAAACAGCGTATCTGCCCACGCTTCGCCGGGGCGGGACCCCGCGAAGGCGAAGGCCTGCCCGATTTTTGGAGAGTGAACCAAGTCTTGAAGTGCATGTCGCTCACTGCCTGTTGAAAGGCGGGCACGTCAAAGGCCGGCATGGAGCATGCCGCCTAGCGTGATCACCTCCTGGAGCTCGCTGATGTTTTCCGGGCTCAGCGGGAAGCGCTTAAAACAGCCATGCCAATGTGGAGTCTTGAGTGATTGCTCCCGTGGCCACCTCTGCGATGACACGATAGGCACTCTTCGTGTCCACCAAGAGGACGGCCCCAATGCAGTTGTGCCGCCGACATCTTCTTAGATGTGTGGCAATGCACAAACTCGGAAACAGCACCGGGGCTGAGTCCCTGGTGCCAAAGTGGAGAGGATGCCGGGAGCCATGGTGTGCATCGACTTGTGCAAAGTTTTTCCCAAGTAGCTGCTCAGGAAGATGCTTCGGTGACTCTCCACCTGGCTTTGCAATCCCGGTCTCTTGAGCATCTCGAACAAGACTCCTCCTCGCCATTGAATTGGCTGGCGGCATGCCAACAGTGATTTGAGGAACAGAGGGTGGGCCAACTTGGGCAAGCCTGTTGGACAGGCTGCCAAGAGGTCGCTCGGCAGACTGTCCAGTCCGCCCGTCTTGCCGGGCTTGGTTTTCCTCATCAGGCCCTCGATGTCGGTAAGAGAAGGCAGCCATTCATGACTCATGGGTCCAAACCACCTCACGGAGGAAGTCAGCCGTCGTGCGGATGACACCCTGCTCCTGGCGACCAAAATGTAGAAGCCAAATTTGGTCTCGGTCTCCTCGAGTTTGCGCCAACTCACCTGTATCCGGATGCACTAAGGCTGGGAGTGGCCTAGCCGCCGGTTTGTTCTGCCTCCCGGCCAGCTTGCTTGGCCCGCTGTAGGACCTCAGAGACCCCTTCTGGCCCATCCTTCACAATGGCTCAAAGCATCGCATCGTTGCCCTTCGCAATCAGGACCTTCATCCTCTTGGCGCATGGCGATTTTGATGGCGGCGGCAATCACCTCGTAGATAGATGAGGGTATGTCTCCGAAGTCGCTCGAGTGCGGGAAAGGAGGTCCCTTTTCTCCAGCACAAAAAGGCCTGGCTGGCAAAGTGCCCCAATAGCCGGTTTGGGGCCCTCAGCCGAATTTTGGCATCGCGCAGGACCCATGCCGCCTCTGGGATAAAGATCGCTGCGAGGGAGGTGGCTTTGGAAACCATGTACCGAGGGCCTGTTGCAGGTAGTCCTGGAGTCGGTGGCTATGATCGTCAGGATGACTTCCTTGAGGTGTCGCTGCAGAGGGAGTTGGCAGCGCAAGAGCAGTCTATCCGGCTCTGCTGTCCACTTGGATGGGTGTATGTTGCTGCGTCCCCTCGGTGCAGACACGCATACGTGCAAGGCGCCCAGATTCCATCGTCCGCCATCAGGTTGGCTATCTTCCAGCCCGTGAGGTTTGGAACATCACTTTGAAGCGAGCCAGTAACATGTTGGTAGTCTGGCGGGAGACGCCCGTTCAGATGAATGCCGAGGAGCAAAAGCTGAGCCTTCCTGCGCCTGGTCTTTCGGAGTGTGTCAAGGAACGCAGCCCTGTCCGCAGCGTGCCCAGCATGTGGGCACAGTGTCGCGCCAGGATGGCGATTTTTTATCCCGGACTCGACGATTTGGGTGGCCAATAGTCTCGGGTCGTCATGGAGCGGCTCCATGTTACCTTCCTCGACGACAACTTGCTTGCCATCAAGGTTGAGGAAGCCCCATTGACGGTGCAGCCAAATGGCCACACCCCAGCATCCCTGTGAATCCGAAGATAGCCTTAGGTTGTGCAGCCCACGACAAAGTCCCGAGCTGCCCTTGGCTTCTTGTATCAGTGCAATGTTGAGGCCCGCTGCGTGGAATTGATCCTCCACATAGCGGTGTAGCCCGCCAAGGCCGTGTGTGTTGACCGACCAACGCAGCAGGGGAAAGCCTGTGGCGCGTCAGCATTGGGGCATGTAGAATGTACTGTTCTGGCTCCAACTGAAACTGGCTGAAGTCACCTTCGCCCATGTCAGGGCCTTGTCCGTCATCCTGAGGGCACCCGCGAGCCATGGCTTCCGTGGCCGGTCCAGGAAAGCATCTGTCCCGAAGGAAGAGCTCGAACTGGTGCGTTCTCTCTGCCCGGGAGTTCCGCGCATTCCATTTGCCGGATGCTGACCAGCCAGCCGCATTACAGTCGAAAAAGATATTGTACTTCACAGCCGGAAGAGTGGCCCTGATTTGTGCAATCCATAGCAAGGCAGCTGCGATAGCCATCTGCTCAGCAGCCATGGCGGGCACGCCCTCCGGGCTTGAAGGCGACATTGGGTCGCCGTCCTCCTCTTCTGAGCTGCTTGTATGCGCCTCGGAGTTGGGGCTGGGTGTCGGAGTAATGTCTTCATCCCAACGAAGCTGGAACCCTGGCCGCTTGCGCCCGCCTTTGATTAGTATGGAGTGGCCAACGCAAAACGGCAGGTGCAATGCATCGATGAAGGCATCGGATCGAAGATGTCAGTGTCAAGGTGAATCCACTTGCCCGCACCGCGCAAGTCCAAGCAAATTATGTATGCCTGGTCTGGCGGGTGTTCCTGCCGTTGCAGATCCGCAACAACAGATCTGACACGCCTGCCACGATGGGCCAGATTCTCTGGTCGAGGCGTCGGTGCGGAAGTCCAAATGTCTTCGACCTCCAGGTCAAAGACGTCTGAAATAATCAATGGCGGAGGGCGAGGATGGGGCGTGATGATGTTGATCACCTCCGCCTCGTTGGTCATAAAGGCTACAAAGTGCCCAACGACCGGGGTAGGGCCATCAGCCCTCGGCTGCCACCTGCCTAGGTCCGTGAGGCCCACTCGGTGACTTCCCTTCGTCGAATGATTCTGACCAAGGCGGCCTGTCTTGGCTGCCGTTGGTCACCATGCTGCAGAGGGTAGGGCTCGGTGTGGTGCAGGTTCGCGTGTTGGAGGATAGCTGCCCTCGTAACTGGGCCCTGGTGGTAACATGAGAAAACTCCACCAACAATGGCCTGCGCGTCAATGACCAGGACCAGGACATATAATTAAGTCCGTAAGAAGCAGCCAAGGTGTAGTCTTACAAAGCTCGCGCTCGTTTCGCAGAGCTGTGGCCATGTAGGAACCGGGTGCGACAGCCAATCTGGAAAGCGCATAGACTGGTCGGGATCACGTTCTCCACCCGCTGCACGGTCAGCGGGAACGCCGTGGCAAAGTGTAGCTCCTCCGGCTCGAAGTAGGGGGATGTAACCCAGGCCGATATGTGCTCCGCTCGTGGCAGCGGATCAGGTGCTGGGTCCGGAACTGGCACGAGGCCAAAGTTGGGAAAGTCCGCCTCGCCGGACGATCTGGACAGAGGGCTGGCCATCACATGTCGGTGGTATGCCCGACTCAATTGCTCCTGCGTCGTGAGTGTCTCAGCCGCGCCAAGGTTGCCGAGCATCCTTGCCGTGAGGTCGGGTCGGAGACACAGCTCCTGCACCCCGTACGATTCATAGTGAGCTGGAGGTGGATCGGGGAAAGACCAAAAAAAACCGACTCGATGATGCCGTCCATCCAGATTTCGCTCCACATAGGTTTTTTTGGGGGGGGCTCTGCTTCTGCAGCCCGACCCGAATCGCCGACTCGTCCAAAGTGTTCACCTCCGGAATGTCGATAGCTGCCTCGGCTCTGGTGCGACACTTCGCCAGCTTCTCCGACAAGGGGGTAGTGCTAAGGTCTGTGGGTCCCGGCTTGCGCCCTGCCTGCTTGATGGCCGTCCGAGATGGGATCGGGATCGCAGGGAAGGCAATGAAGCGGAGTTCATCGCCGACGGGGAGGTGAGGTAGGGACTCCTTCGTCGTCCCCGCCTCCTCGTCTATCTGCATTTGACTTGTGCCTTTCCCAAGCCTCACATGAGCAGGCGGAAGCGTTTCTTTGTCGCCTGCCTGGACTTGCCTGCAGACTTCAGGGCTGCTTCCAGCATACCAGAAAAGCCTGTCGGCTCCTCCTCTGGGATGTTTATCAGCTAGTCCCACTTTGCCATGGCTTCCTAGTCCTGTGGCGACTGCTTGGGCGGGGGGGCCTCCTCTTCGTCGTTGGCGATGGCCGTCTGGAGCTCCGTCAGAGCGTCCGCCAGGGCCTCCTGGTGTTCTTGGTGTTCGTTATGAAGATGGGCCAAACGCTCGAGGTGCTTGTTCCGCTCCTTGACAAAGCTGGCCGATCACTTCTTGTTCAGATCCGTGGTTTCCAGGTCGCATTTTTTGATCTTGGCCTCGCACTTGCGCACCACTTTGACCTGTTTCTGAATGCACCAGACTCCCGGCCGCACACGACAGCGGTGCTGTTGGCCCGGGCCCAGCCGATCCGGAAGAGGTCGCACCCTGTGTCAGGTCTTTGCGGCCCATGACTTCCTTGTACTTCGGCTGGCTGTGGTGTGCGACTAGCAGTCGAAGATCTCGGAGCCGTGGTTGCCGATTCTCGGCACGAGCTCAATGCATACGGCGCCGTGCCACTGAACGAGCCGCCCGCAATCGGCGGTGCCCGGCCGGGGATGTCGGCCCTTTACGCAGTCCAATGGCTGCGAGGCAGGCGTGCCTATCCTGTGGGCACTGGGGTTGCCGGCTATGCCCACAAACCTTCTTGCTCCGAAACCCTCCTAAAAGAAAAAGGTGTATATATATATATATATATATATATATGGTTATTCTTAACTATTAGTAATTAGTATTATTGTTATTGCTGTATACATATATGGGTAGAACCTGAAATGTTTCTTCCGCTTTATATTGGGGCATTTGGAGTGTAGGGTTGAGGGCTTAGAGCCACTTGAATGTCGGGTTTATGTTTGTTTTAAAGTGGGTCCTGTAAAGTTTTAGGACAGCCGGTTCCTTGACTGGGGCAACAAAACGGTTCTAAACCGCTTTGTAAGGGTTTGATACGGAAGAGTAAAAGACACAATGAAGCTTTCGTTGTCGTTGAGTCTGTCAGCGTTCCCTTCAGGGGTGTACAATAGGGAACGGTTGAACTGATGCCCCTGATAAATACCTTCCCTTTCCGTAACAAGGGTGTTGGGATTAGGTTCCCCCTGTGAATTTGGATGCTGTTTATGTTTCAATGAAGTGGTTCAATACCTTCACGGGTGTAAAAACTAGACCAGAGTACTGGGGTGTATTTCACTATAGTTCTGGCAAGTATCAGGTGCTGCAAGAGAATACTGTGTTCATCGGTACATGTCCATGGGGCTTGGATTTCAAGTCTACTGTCCCACCCAGCAATCCTGTCACAGGGCCCAACCTGAGAACCTAACCCTTGACGTCCTTAACCGGGGCAACTGCGCAACCCTAAATTTTAAAACCCCAGAGGCCCTCAACCCGCCACCCCATTTATCCAAGAGGGCCTATCTCTTGTTCTTGGGTTCGCCTGTGGCAAGATGCGCGCAGCAAACGCAGATGCCACTCTTTTCTTGGCTTCATCCTGGCGCAGGGGCCATGCTGGGTGGGACTCAAGCATGGGGGCAGAGCGCAGAGCAGGGTAGGCTGTCATGGGATTTGGTCGAGCCAGAGGGCGCAGAAAGTCTCAAGACAATGCGAGTTGTAAATAGGTGGCTTGGTATAAGCACGATCAAAGCTTAATGCACGCTCACTAAACACGCTTTCGCTCGGCGCACCGTAAGCGAGCCCTCCACCCTAAAGCCTTGAAGCCTGCAGCCTTCGACCCTGAAACCCTAAACCCTAGAATCGTAAAGCTTATGCGCATATGCTTATGCCATCTTATGCCTATACCCTCAGGGTGCTTTGTCTTTACAAACTGTAAGCCTCACAGCTCCAAATGCTAACACCTTCAATGTGTTGTACAAGACGGACGGAGGTGTCGGACCATCCTGCAATCGCAAGGCTATAATGAAACGTACGGGGTGGAAGGGTTGAGGAGTTAGAGATTGCAGGGTTTGGAGTCCAGTGGTTGGAAAGCTACATGGACAAGACCTGAGCTCTGCACCCATGCGGAGCATCAAGAAAACCTTGCGCAGATGATTTCAGGTTTCACGACGCTTTATAGTAATCTTCCTGAACCCTTATCCCTCCTTTAAGACTTCAGCCCTGAACCTTGGCGATTATCCCAGGTGACAAAGTTGATGAACAAGATTCTTGGAGGCGGCTTGTCAAAGACTTTCCAAAGGATACAGAAGAACGTCTTAGCCAATAGGATCATTCGGAGATACCCTGAAAAAGCCGAGAGCTTGACAGTAAACCCTACATTTTCCAGATGTTCCGGGGGGTCTCAAGGAGTTGCAGTCCCACGAGTGCTTCGTCCTTCGTTTACAAAGCTCTTTAGCAACTTAGTTAACCCACCCACACAACCCACCTGCACACCCCCAACCCCCAAACCCACACCCACGCCCACCCACGCCCACCCAAACCCACACCCCACACCCCCACACCCACACCCCTACACCCACCCACCCACACCCCTACACCCCGACACACCGACCCCCAACACCCCTACACCCACCCACCCACCCCAACCCAACCCAACCCAACCCAACCCAACCCACCCACCAACCCACCCAACCCACCCACCCAACCCACCCAACCCACCCAACCCACCCACCCAACCCACCCAACCCACCCAACCCACCCAACCCACCCAACCCACCCCCCCCCCCCCACCCACCCACCCACCCCAACCCCCCAAACGCCCACCACCACCAACCCACCCAGCCCACCCAACCCACCCAACCACCCCACCCACCCCCAACCCACCCCAGCCCACCCCACACCACCACACTCCCACCCCCCACCCCCCCCACCCACAACCCCACCCCACCCCCCCACCCACCCCACCCACCCCCCCCCCACCCCACCCACCCCACACCAACCCCACCCCACCACACCACCCCACCCACACCACCACCACACCCACACCACCCACACCACCCACACCCCACACACACCCACCCACACACACACCACACACACACACCCACCACACACACACACACACACACCACACACACACACACACACACACACACACACACACACACCCACACACACACACACACACACCACACACACACACACACACACACCACACACACACACACACACACACACACACACACACACACACACACACACACACACACACACACACACACACACACACACACACACACACACACACACACACACACACACACACACACACACACACCACCACACACACACACACACACACACACACACACACACACACACACACACACACACACACATCACACACACACACACACACACACACACACACACACACCACACACACACACACACACACACACACCACACACACACACACACGACACACCCCACCACACACACACACACACACACACACACCACACACACACCACACACACACACACACACACACCACACACACACACACACACACACCACACACACACACACACACACCACACACACACACACACACACCACACACACCACACACACCACACACCCAACACACACCACACACACCACACACACCACACACACCACACACACCACACACACCACACACACCACACACACCACACACACCACACACACCACACACACCACACACACCACACACACCACACACACCACACACACCACACACACCACACACACCACACATACCACACACACCACACACACCACACACACCACACACACCACACACACCACACACACCACACACACCACACACACCACACACACCACACACACACACACACCACACAACACGCAACACACACCACACACCACACACCACACAACACACAACACACACCACACAACACACACCACACACCACAACACACACAACACACAACACACTTCAAACCACACACCACAACACACACAACACACAACACACTTCAAACCACACACCACACCACACACCACACAATGCACACCACACAACGCACACCACACCCCACACCCCACAACCCCACAACCCCACACCACCCCACACCACCCCACACCACCCCACACCACCCAACACCACCCCACACCACCCCACACCACCCCACACCACCCCACACCACCCCACACACCACCCCACACCACCCCACACCACCCCACACCACACCACACCACACCACACCACACCACACCACACAACACCACACAACACCCACCACACACCACACACCACACACCACACACCACACACCACACATCACACACCACACACCACACACCACACACCATACACCACACCCCACACGCCACACACCACACACCACACACCACACACCACACACACCACACACCACACACCACACACCACACCACACACACCACACACCACACCACACACCGCACATTGCACACCGCACACCGCACACCCCACACCAGACACCACACACCACACAGCACACACCAGACACCACACACCACACACCACACACCACACACCACACAACACACCAACACACCAACACACCAACACACCACCACACCACACACCACACACCACACACCACACACCCACACACACCCGCACACACCACACACCACACACCACACCAACACACCAACACACCAGCACACACCACACCAACACACACACACACACACACCCACACACACCCACACACACCCACACACACACCACACACACCACACACACACACACCACACACACACACAGACATACAGACAGACAGACAGACAGACAGACAGACAGACAGACAGACAGTGACAGACAGACAGTGACAGACTGACACAGGCAGACAGAGATACAGAGACTACAAACACAGAGACCCAGACCCAGACCGACCCAAACCCAGACAGAGACAGAGAGACGGAGCGTCGTGGAGGGGTTCAGCTTCGACGATTCGAATTCTAATTGTTTGCAGCTTAAGTTTGAGATTTATGTTCAAGGATGTATATGTTTTAGGAGTGATAAAGCTCGGTAAAGAGTTGTCGGGATTTGGGTTTGGCGCGAAGATTGTTGGGTTCAGGCCTATGGTGCATTGGAGTTGGGGCATGTAGAGTTACAGGCCCATGAAGCCCAGACAGTCCTGCATCGACCGACGAAGCTGTCCTCGACCCAAAGCCCTTACACAAGTCAAGCCGCATGTGGTTCTACTGATGTAGAACTTCTAGGCCCTAAACCTAAGCCCCGTATAAGAAGCGCTAAAGACTTTCAAGCTATATAAGCACTTGTAACGGTCGAGGGCCCGAACTTTCAAGCCTTAAGCCGAACCCAAAAGGCCGTAGACCCCTAATTGCACTTCCAGATGCATCGTTCGATCCCGCTGCGCGGAACGAGTCCTCCTCCTCTTGGGAGGGATTCGTGCCCAGGGAGCCGTGGGAGCCAAGGGTTAAAGGTTTGGGGTTGCCTGAACGTCCCGAGTATCTTTATATGGTGCTCAAAGACTTGGTATGCAGTCGTTTTGGATCGAGTTTGGGACGAGAGATTCCCGGCATTGCCAAATCAAAGCCCCAGAGGTTCAAATGCCACGTAGCTCTCGGTGCAGAAGAACCATACGGAGCCCAACCTGGCAAAGGAGGGCCAGTCCACATTCAAAAGGCATCACACACGGCTTCGTGTTCATCGTCGACCAGGCCTGGGACCCCGCCTTTGGCCCAAGCATATCAGGCTCCTGGCGAAGCATTCACTCGCGCAGCATATGGTCACTAGCATAGGGCAGGACTGGCCTTCCCCGTCACAGCTACACCGACCGAGGTTGTCCTCCACAGGAATAGTGCCCAGTTCTCCAGACAGCTGGGCCTGCCACTGCAGCTAGACAGCTTGACGCAGTTGCCACTGCGGCAAGCGAAGAAAGCCTCACCGAGGGTGCTAACAAGATAAACCACGTTCCAGCACATGCTGGCCCATCTCTGGCTTCCTCGGCACCTATGACTCGGCGACTTCGAGCGAAGATAGGCGGTGATTACTTTGGGCATCAGTGCAGCCGATCCTGTCAGCGCCGCCTTGCGGGACTTGCCGATGTTGGTATGGGTGAGGTAGAAGCAGACGGGCACGCCGCGTGTGCCCACGTCCACTACGCCGCCCAAGGAACATCCCTTGCTGCCACGGCACCCAAACAGATGGGCTCTCCAAACTCCGTGCCGACGAGAACTCCTAGCACCTAGAAGATTTGTCCTAGCACCAATGTGTGGGTGGGAGGATCGAAGCCTTGGCCATCCATGGAAAATGGCGATTTCTTTGCTTGGCACCGCCGGAGAATGTCTCTCTTGTGGCACATTTCCTGGTTGGGTTCGGTGGGGGCTTCGTGTTGGACTTGCACAGTAGACAGTAGCCATAACTGCCATACCTGCCCTTCCTCTTCGGCAAGCTGCGCCACGCTTGGCTTGCGGGGCCACTTGTCAATTCCAGCTGCTTCGCCTCCAGGAACTTCAGGAGCTTGAGCTGCCTGGCCTTCTCCAGGACCTTTTTTTGAGGAGCTCCAGCTGCCTCGCTTCAAAAAACTCCAGGGGTCACTTGTCGAGGAGCTCCAGCTGCCTCGCTTCCAGGAACTTGAGGATCTTGAGCTGCCTGGCACTGTCCAACAACTTCTTGAAGTGCTCTTCCAGGTGCCGCTTCATGAAGAGCTCCAGCCGTCTCGACTTGAGGAGCTCCGCCGGGAGCTGCCGCGTCTTCAGGGGGCACTGCAGCCATTTGTACATCTGCACTTCAATTGTTGAAATTATTGGCTTAAACTCGCCGACTCGGCCCTTCAAGCACGACGACGAAGAGCAAAGCCCCAAAAGCCCTCATCGTGAGGTGCAGCTCGCGTCGGTTTTGCTTGGCACCAGACTGCCGGAAGCACAGAAGGCGCGACAAGGAACCGTTAACTTGCAGGGAAAGCGGAAAGCCTAGCCAAACCAGGGACAGGGAGAGCCAGTTGAAGTGGTGGCCAGTGATCGAGGCAGGTGCCAACAAGTCGTCGAGGGGCCGACGCCTCAAACAAAAGGTCGAGGCAGAGATGGCGCTACGGGATGGTGCGAGGCTTCAACCAAAATTAGGGTGCCAAAGGGACAGGAGACTGTCCCTGTTCGGACTGGCAACTCGGAAGCTTGCGGGGTAGCTGCGGACTTCGGGGATGGATTCGGCGATGACGTAGACTTCGGAGTCGCAAGCTTCTTGGGCGGGGGTGTGGAGAGTCAGGCTCCTCGGGCTCCTCGGCCTTGCCATCTGCAGATGCAGACCCGACAGAAGCAGGAGCCTTCTTAGCCGTCTTCTTAGCTGCTGGCCACTTCATGATCTTGGATATTCCACCATGGGCTGCTGCATTCTCGGAGGTCTGCATGAACAAGTTGGGCACATCCAGGTCCTTGAGCTTGCCGAAGACCTTGGTCTTGAGAAATCCATCAGGTCCTTCAAACACAGGATGCCGCTTTGAAGTGCCGTCCGCCATCTGAGTTATGTACTTGCAGGAGGCCTTGCAAAAGTACTGCAACATGATGTCCTTCGAGCTCGACGATCCGGAAGCCTCCTCTGCGGGTGCCGTCTCCTCCGCAGGCACAAGTGCAAGCTGGACATTCTTGGAGCTGCTGCTGCCGATCGAGATTGCGGGCGATGCAGGAGCCGTCTTCGACAAGGCTTCCTCACCATCCTGGGAGAGACCGTACTTGGCATAGATGTCCTGAGACGTGGATGCCGAAGTCGAGCTCACGAGTGTCTTGGCAAGCCCAGGAGAAGTCTCAGACTTCTGCCTCTTGGAAGGACTGGCCTTGGCCTGGCTGGTGGCACATCCTTTCCACATGTGGCCATGCAGATTGCCCGCAGACTTGTCTGGGCTATGCACTCTCTTGCGAAGCCAATTCAGGCGATCCTGCTGAAGCTCATTTGCATCTAGCTTCTGCAAGTGCTCGCAGACCCGCTTGATAGCCGGGTGGGTCTTCTTGCCAGACGTCACGGCTTTCATTTTGATGCGAACATGGCGCAGTGAAATATGCAAAGGGGGCGGGCGAACATATCAACCTGCCCCGACGATTCTTTTTCAACTGCCCTGCCAGCACAGCGGCTGAGTTGCTTCGCTACGAGCCTTGGTGAGACTTTGGGAAAATCGACTATGAAGCTCTCATAGCCTGCCACAATCATCTCCATGTCCGTCTCTTTGTAAGCGGTGCCCAGATCGGTGACGTTGCTCCTGAGTAGCTTCTGTACCTGCTCATCGGTGGCAGGTGTTCCGAGCCCGGGGCTTGCTATTGCTCCTCGTGGGCAACGACATGACTAGCTCCTCCTGGCGGAAAAGGAGGATCGACTGATCGATCGAGCTATCCGAGCAGCTTGCTTGAGCAAAAAAGAGCTATCAGTGAGCATGCTCAAACAAACAATACAAAATGTTGCAGGCAGGCAACAAAACATATATACCCAGTTCAAGCATGGATCGATCTGCTGCACATATTCAAAAGTCCGTGGGTGCAGCTCGCTGGCCCCCATGGAAAACCGAATTAAGGTTGCACCGGTGTTGCAGGCTCATCAGTCATCATGGGGATGCCTCCACCATACCCAATACCAGATCCTTGGTTTAAATCGATGGAAAGCTATAAAGCATGTTTCAACACCTGGCATGCACGTGAATTAAAACCGTCTGCATGAAAGTCGCTGCGTGTCTCCGAGCCAAAAGCTTTGCCAACACCATCGCCGTTCCAGGCGAACAGGCCGTGGCGATCTCGATCTTGAGCGATCCTATACATGCAAGTCGCAGTTTTCTAGCAAACTTCCACGCAGAGCTATGCAGCACGATCTCCTCTGCAACCCTTGCAAGGGCAAAAAGTCTGTCAGGTGGTCTTCTTCTGCCTTTCCGTACACGTGGCCTGAGCTTGAGCCGACAAAGCCAACAGACATATAAGTCTAATGCAAATAGTCGCACGTGCAATTCAACTCCATCTCCTGCTGCAGTGCACGCATGCATCCTACACGACCAAAACATGGCAACAACTGATCAAAGCATGCATGCACATGCATCTATGATCTCGATGCGTATACAGGAGAGCATACAACATACCCTCCCGTGTGCATGAGCGATCGCTCTTTCCAAAAAGTATGCATGCATGTACAATATGTATACACATACATGTCACATGCCAGACAATAATGAACCTGAATTAAGGAAGGTAATATACCTTAGTTAAGTCTGAAGAATTTAAGGACTATGTGACCTCATCACTTGTGATTATCACTTTATTTCCTTTCCACAACAACCGGTTTTTCATGTTTTGAAACACGGTTGAGGATTTATCTTCAATTGCAGCGATGACTTGGATTGCCTCACGTCACAGCATTTCCAGCTCAAGAGAAGTTGGAAAAATTTGATTTCCTCGTTGTGATCGCCCCGACGGCTTATCTGAGCCAGGTGACGGCGGTGTCGGTGAGGTCGAGCCTCCAAACCTCGGGTCTGATTCGGACTCTTGCTCCTCGAGCTCAAGTGACAAGCTCGTCTGAAGGTGCAAGTGAAACCAATGGGGTGCTAAGGGTCCCTGAGCCAGCTCAAGGCACCCGATTTTTGCAACACCAGAAGACGCGACTTTTGCATATGATCTTGGAGCAAAACCGCCGTACCTTGTTGTGTGGGCGGATGGTGAGCGACATGTACAGACCTCCGGACAAAGTTCGATACGACTCTTCAGTCTGTCGCAACTGCAAGAAAGCAGCTTCCGACTTGTAGTTCCCTCGGCACTTGTGTAGGCTTGACGAGAGGCGTCCTGTGTGCCGTGTGCTGCTCCTGAGTACGCGTGACGCAGGGGGCTCTCAGTCCCGGGGTGGTGTGCTGCCGAAGGGTGGCCGAGCCGGGACTTTGTCTGACGACGCTGCTGCTCGCAGAGACAAGGAAGCTTATGTGTGCAACGCGTTGGCTCAGGCATGTGCGTGTCATGGTGAACGCCTACACGGCCAAGACTTGTTTGCGATGTCATGAGTTTTGGTTCCACAGCTGCTTGAAGCAATCATGTCGCTCGTAGACAGCGAGGCAGCGTTCAGGCAACGATGCCAGGATGTCAACGGCGAGGCGGTGCGAGGCGCCCTTGAGGGGCAGGGCATCACTACATTTGCTGCTTTGGCGTATGCGTGTGGCACTCCGCAAGACCGGCCGACGCAAACCGAAATGGACGCCTTTACTACCAAGGTCCTAGGTGCAGCGCCCCGTTTGGGCGAGGTGGCGTTGTTGCGCAGGCTCATGTTCGAATCCAGCACATATGTCATAGCTCAGCTTCGACAATCAGTACAGGGCGACTCTGCTGAAACGCCTCGCAAACTTCCGTTGGCGGAGAAGGCAGCGAGGGCTGAAGATCAGCGCAGACGCCTGCTGGGCGTGCGCATAGAGCGTGACAAAGACCCGGCCCTTCACACGCCCT